CCCCCCCCCCCCCCCGATTTTGTATCAGCTGGAACAAACTTTTACTATTGCCTAAGGCAGCAGCTACTTGGGTCCCCCGGTTTCAGTGGACCTTTGTAAGGCCTATCGTGAGTTGACGTTGCGGACACCACCCATTCCTTTTTTTATCACACATTTATGTGGTGAACAGCAGACCTGGCGAACCCCATAGTCACGAAGACCAGCTGATCTATCATGGAAACCGGTAACCTAAGCTCCTGGACTTGAAGTGGCGAAACACATAAGGCCCCGCTAGATTAGGCCTGGTATTGAACCGGACGACAGAAAAGCCGTTTTGCTTTCGGCTCTGATTTCTGCCCTGTCAAAACTATTGATCTTTAGTAGGTTCAATGTCTTACCTTGCTCGAGTCCACCCGAAACTTTCACTGTTAAATGAATTCTCCTTCTGTTGATCTACTCCGAAGTGCTGCAAAAATCCTAGCTTGTGCCTTAATTCTTTCTCATTGGTCGGGCCTCAAACAGCTGGGATAGCTAGACGATGACAAGCTGACCAAGGTTGAAACTTAATCCGGCAGTCAACGGGTCCAAGAATAAAACACTTGGAGACTGATGTGTGACCAGATGCAATTAATTTGGTCAAATAAGATCAATCAGTTTAGTGATCTATTTGGATCAGCTTTCTCGTTGAGTTGGAGCACCATGTTACCAACTGTCCACAGTTGTGTCGGAAGCTAGTACTCAATAGTTACTGCATCTAACTCATACAGTCACGTGCATGCAAATAGGACCTTGCAGTGATCCACGCTGAACAGCAGTAGTCGATCGCCGTTATCTTTCTTATTCAATGGGAGGGCAATACACACAAAAACCCTATACAGATTTCTGACGCACTCAGTTTTCCAACCTCCGCACCACTCGCATCTTGAAATCTAGTGTCTGATAAGCAGCAGATATCAGTCGCTAATGTTTCCATCGTGCGCTCTATAAAAACCTACTGTCCCGCTTGGATGAAAATCCCNCCCCCCCCCCCCAGACTCAGGTTGACGAGAGTTCATAATCCGCAATTTATGTGATGGCACACTGCTTACAACGCTGTTTGGCAGTGAGCTTAGGTGAGGACCAAACAAGTTTTCTGAGGGAATTTTACGGATTAGAAAGAGGAAAAAAGTGTAAGGGTTGTGGAAATAAGACCAAAAACTAAACAATGGTTTGAGTAGAATGCATACCTGTACAAACAAATGTTCATAAAGGGAGGAGGCGACTTCCACGTTAGCTTGTTGGGTTATAGAGGTGTACATGGTATCACGCCACGTCAAAGTGTATCAATCATACTATGTTTATGCATCCCCTTCTGTCTGTTTTTCAAAGGGAATACTGAGTTCAGTCAACTTTGGCTGGTGGAAAAAGGACGATTGTCTCCGTCGCTAAGTATTTCGCTAATCATCTTTTTTTTGTTAATTTTTCGAATGACATCGATGTTGCTCCCGGTCATTGAGGCCGCACAAAACCTGACGGAAAGCGTTAACCACCAAGTTGTCTAAGTCCTTATGAAACCTATTAGACATTCGTCAACACCACTGTGCACTTTCCGAGGTGTCACATGCTCGAAGAATATACGTAAATGTTTTCCACCCTTTTTAATCCTATTTGCATCGATTTCATCGTCTAAGTTCCAGTGCTCCACCGGTTATTTGCTTCGATTTATTTTATTCTCCTTGTCGATACGGAGTATTTTATGAGTTAATTGAGCCGTCCTCCTTATGTAGATCATTGGGGAAGTTTGTTTGTTGAACGGCTCGGATATCCGTGACTATCGTTCGGGTACCTTGCGTAATTTTCAGTTCATCTCCCGTTTCTCTCTTGTGCTGTCCATCACCTTGCACAGTTCTTGATACCAGCTAGTCATGTTCAGTCTACTTTCTAATCGCCTAATGTCCATTCATCTGTGCCATGTCTTTCGTCCCCCTCCCCCCCCCCACCTCATCCGTTCATTCAGATTCACTATCTTCTAACTGAGGTCGGTCGTCATTTGTGGAAAGAAGAAGATCCACAACTACTGCGCTATCATGCTTTACAGACGAAAATTGTGAGCCACATTTTGTTTTACCAAATAACCACTTTTGTTTTTTGAGTTTGAATTCTGTCAACCAAGAATCGTAGTATGGAGACAGAATGGAACACATTCACCGTTTACCAAAGATTCATCGAACAGAGCCGTTTTTCAGTTTCGGTTTCAACAACCATACATTTTGTTGTTGTTATCGCACGTAACAACCAACCAACGTAATATATGGATGTGGGGCACTTTCCCCAGTAGTCGATCGCGATTAATTGAAACCTAAACCGTACCGCAGCATTGCTTATCCGGTTATCCCGCCAGACTCGTGCGATGCGGGGTTCGAACACCGAAAATTTCTCTTTATCCCGTTTCCATGTTGGTTCAGCCTCTACACCTTCAGGGAGCATTGGCCGAATAGCTGCAGCATACACTCTACCCTTTTAAGACCACCGGATGTCGCGACGGCGCCAGAGATGTTTCAAGTTTTTATTTCCACAGTAAGCGCGAGGTTTGGAGCTGGACCAACTCAGTCCTGTAACAACATTTTACACTTTTAAGGTGTGAAACGCATGTCGAATATGGCTACACTAGCACTCAAATCGTCCGGAAAAAACTTGCAACTTACCTGGATCTTCACTTAACACCACAATGTCGTCTACATACTCCAGATCAAACGGCCTACTACCTGAGAGCAAATCGACACCACTATTCTCGCACAAGTTGGGGGGCTGTTTCTATGATCAAATCTAAAATAAAGTTAAACAGAAAAACAAAGGGAGTGAAACCCTGACGAACTCCGCTTTCTCTGGTTGATTCGACTAAAATGTTCCGTAAGCTCGAATTTGGCTTCGACTATTAGTACAAAGGGATCATAAAATTGAAATAAACTTCTCTATCACCCCTTTCAAGTATAGTCAACACCAGAGTATAGAGTGGTCGATCGAGTCGAATACCGAGTTCAGATCGCAAGGAATATCCCATGGTTTGACGAATGGTGAAAATTTGGTCTATAGAACCTCGTCCGGGTCACACCAGCCTGATTCTCACGCGTACATCATTCGCTTGCCACACACAGTCGACAGATTATTTTACCCGCGTGAAGTTTTGGTACAGTGTTGATCAAACTAAGTCATGCTTTTCACAAGAGGACCTATCACCTTTCTTTTGAATCGATAGGATGACCTACTCACCATTCGGGTAAGATGTGATTACTCTGTCG